GGCATCCAATTGTGCTTCTGGCGAATGAGCTTTCCATCACGTTCAATGACTTCACGAACTTGTTCAATGCGATAGACCAGGGGGTGATACATTGATTTTACTCCGCGCCATTCAGATCTAATAAAGACACAAGTAGCCTCACAGGAGATTTTAATTCGAATGACCTTGCTATCTGTTTTTCCCAGTTCATTGGTAACGTGAATTCTGAAGGATTTGTGCCTAATCTTAGCTCATACTCGGCTTAGAGGGGTAATACTTGGGGCTATATTCATTGTTAAATCAATAAGTTTACTAATATCATTAATTAAAGCTTATTAAATGCACAATTATCAAGGATTTATGCAGATGCTAGAAACATGCAATTGAAAACAACAGGCAATACGTTTACATGTACTAAGTGAAGAGATTCATAAGTCATACACACCAAAGGTGGATATTTAAACACCTCTTTTAAAATAGCACAAATCAAACCGTTTAAGTTGCTTAATGAAGTTATTTCTCTAAACTAGCATTAAGCATATATCTACTAACTCGTTGATCTAAGACGGTGATCTGAGATTTGCTGCAACGTATTTTACTCATCACATAATTAAGTCTGAACGAGAGATAAATTCGAAATTTAAATGTCAAGGCTTTTACCAATATACTTATTCTTTTCCATCTGACCGATTTTTTCTGAAAATAAATTTGGAAAAAAATAACAATATTGTCAATAATTGTAGAGCATCTGATAATACCACCTTCTCTTATTGGTTCTAATGTTAATGATTGAAAATACTTTTGGCATTAAATTAACCATATCAAATTAAAACATTAGCCGTGTCTCAAAAGGCTGATTTTAAATTATTTGAAAGTGATTATTTAGCTAATTATGCAAAAGAACTCCTTCCATTTGATTAACGCTAATTTCAAGTTATTGGAAAATTAATTTTCTATAGTTAGATTGCAAGAAATGGACAGATGCGAACAAAATTTGCTTTAAGCTTAAATTGCAATCAAGTTAAGTCAAATCTCCCGCGAGAAACCATCTTTCGGTAAAGAAATTTTATTTTAATTTCTAGCTTCTCACTCACTTTGCATATTCATCAAAGACAATGCTTTCGGTGGCTGAGGAGTCATAATGAATTAAGCCAATTTTGAGGGCCTGCTCAAAGTTGAGTTTCTCCCCAGTAGCTGTATTGATGACAAAGAAGCGACGCTTCTGCTCCTCCTCGCTCAATTGTTCTTCGGTTTCCAATTCGTTGGTGGGTTCATCTGGAGGTACTTCAAATCCAGCGATTCCACGTTCAATTGCTGCGTGAATGGAGACTCGCTTGCGACGCTTAGTGTCAAGAACGGTGGTAATACGCTCGCGGAAACTCGGGCGCATAATCACAACGTATCCAACTTCTTCGCCTGCAGCCATGCCACCGACTTAAGACGAAAGAGTTAAATACTAAATTTTGAATTTTTGTCTAGTTGTGTCATCCACTATGCTAATAAATTTTCATAATTGAGGATTGTTTTCTCCTTTATTTTCTCCACTATTGATCCTTAATGAAATAATGATTCGTTTATTGTGGATCCTTGCCTGATCATTCAAATTGACTGAATGCAGTCCCTGGCCTGTCATGTCATAATCAAGTTTGAGCTTCACCTGGAAAATGCATTCTTTAAACTTCTTTAACTTTGTAACTTTACTGATGTTAGTACCGTTTATTTCACAAAGTCTTGAAATACATCACAACTCACACAGCCATAAGTGGCCCAAATAAATAAGCTTTTAACGATTGAAACATTAAAATCATTAGAAGCGCTCTAAATCAGTTCGAAATGTACAATGTTACTAAGGGTGCGTCATCAAACTCTTTATTTCAACCTTTTAAGCAACTAAAGGCGTTAGTAAAAAGAGTAAATTTACTATCCACAACCTATTGGGAGGCACGTTCGATTTTTAACCGAAGCTTAACTTCAATCAAAATCATGCATTGAATTTGACCTACCAATCTGGGAGCTAACGAGCTAATCAGATTGCGCTATATTCTGACCAATTATAACTATATTGATAGACAATTGGCCACCAAATTACTCAAAAAGGTTGGACCTAGATACCGGAAGGCGTTCAAGTGTCCGGCATTCAAGAATTGCCGCGCACACATGAGAATACGCAGCACATTCATAAGTCTATTTCGATGAATCTGTCTATTTTCCGGGACAAATACTTGCAAAACACTTAAACGTAAAATTTAAGCACCGGAAATCCAAATTGATAGAACTCGCCTCTGACACATAAGGCCTGTGAGATTGAGAACCTTCACTCATTTGTGTACATTCCAACAATAATTTGATACTCGTTCCAGTGTTTTAAATGTTTTCTTTCCTGTTTGAAATAAGCTTCTAGCTCATTTCATTAACATTGGCCTGACTGTTATTTCAAGATTAGCGGAATCAAAACAGCCCTACTCCTGCAATTGTATTCATTGTCCATCTATTTGAAAGTGGGATCTTCAATGCAGGATTATCAATGAATTCACCGTCGCATTCAAGTCCTCCAGCATGTATTTGTTTTGGATTTATCGATATTGCTATAATGGCATCTCTTACACATTTTGATTGGTTTACACGATAAAAATTCTTAGCAGGTCAATATTCATTTCTGTTATGCGAGAAATATTAAGCAATAAATCCTCTCTTGCTAAACTCCGGCACGATGCATATCAGTCACATGGCACAAAGAGATACTAATTTAATTTCTTAATGATAACACAATACCACTGTTTTCCATGGAAAAAAATTAATATTTACCTGGATGTACCACAGACAGTTTAACTGGTGGAGATTTCTTGACCATTGGCAAAGGATAGGTTGATTTAGGGAGTGATCGATGACCTCCCTTCTCATAAGAGCAAGTACGCATTCTTGAGCACTTTTCAATGCTTTTAGGCGGTAGGTCATTCGATCGATATCTTAAACTGATTGGTGTTTGAGCTTGTATTTGTTGACTAGCTGCTGTCGCTTCCAAAATGCAAGGTTCACTGCCATAAAGACGTTTTTCTAGGTGTTCTGTTTTTGCTTGTGCTGTTGCAAGCTCAAGCTTTTGAGAAAGACTGCCTGTCTTGCTGCGTAGTGTCAATGCCTCCGTGGGTTGTTTGTCAAATGGAGGTGGGGGCGAGAGCAAACTCGTCTCACTCAGAGTTCCTTTCACATGGAGCTCTGGTGCAGCTTTAATTATTTTAAAGAAAGGTAATTAATTTCTTTTTAAAATTAAAATTCGATTTGTTCCCATAAATTTTAGTGAACCTATTGCCATAAAATAGGCCTTATTTCTTATGTTCTTGGTTTACTTGCACTACACCAACTTTCGTTTCTGAAAATTAATCATATCGCATAGATTGCTACTAATATATCTCTTGTTTCTGTCCTAATAGTTTTTTCCATCAGTCAAGGGCCTTAATCCTAATTTTTGACTAAATAAATGAAAAAATCAATAAAATCAATACTTCTATTCGAACGCAGTCACAAAAGTAGATCAAGTGTGAAGTACCAATCAAAAACACCCGGTCGAATTCAGAAGAGTTATAAATAGAAAAATTAGATTACTTGTAAGATAAATCAATTTCACTAACAATCACATAATCAAATTAAGATGATTTTATGAGCGCATTTTGTAGTAAATTTTCGAGCAAGGATAATTTATCTTTCTACCATTGGTTTGGCTTAAATGACGTCAACATCCGATAAACTGAAATTGGCACAAATAGAAACCTTATCGATTAGTCAGTCATGAATTTCCCTTTAATGTTTTATTTTAAAATTCATTTACTCCTCGCATGTCGTAGAGCATTCATATTTATATATTTTATTGTTTTGTCATTCAATCTAGCAAAGTAATTTTTAAAATCAAGTGTTTTTCGAGCATGAAGTGGCTATAGAGATGGCATGATAAAGATTATCAGATAATGAGATAATTTGGTTCAGGTTTCACTTCATAGAAGTGTTGCTCCAATCGTTGTTATGATTTATATACATTATTATCTATGTGATACACAATTCCAAGCATTAAACACTAGCGATTTACCATATAGAGCAAGCGGAGAATTCTGGAAAATATTTGCACACAGCACATACATACTTGCGAAATTCGCATAATAAGAGCATTTAACAAAAATAAATAATTTGGCGAAAACTTCCCGAGTTTCAACAGAGTTGTGAAAACGATTTTAAACAGCTTAAAAATATGGGCATAGGCATAATGCATAAAGAAATATTACAAATGAAGGATGTCTAAAGATAAGATAACTAACTGTTCATTCAAAATGGGTACATGCAGAGTATAAATAAAATCTGAGGGAATATGCTTCCATCTTTGTGCATTTATCTACCACGAATATATAAATTTCTATCTTACTCGGCTGATTTAAGTGTCACGGACGTAAATTTAATGCGCTTGTGTGCGTTTAAATAAAAGTAATAGATTAGTTTAACACACTAAATTTCCAGATCACTTTAGAGTTTCACAACTAATCACATTTCTACTTCGTGTCAAGACAGTAAACTTGCCTGTCACAACTCACCTTGATGTGTTGCAAAGCCTTAACATTTAATGCAAACCAACTTTCACAAAGATAGAAGCACTTTCTTTTGGATTTCGCACATACTCTGCTAGAACCTATGATAAATAATAAATTATTTCAAGGTTGCGACCAAAAAGTTGGCAGTCGATATCGCCATTTAAATTTCAAATGTAATTTGCACATATAATTAGCCACTGAATTTAATTTGTGCACAGAAAAGGCAAAGCTAATGAGTAATGTGATAAGCTTTCTAATACCCGATCATCAGTTAGCAGTCTAGAGGATAAATCGGGAAGGAATATTGTTTTGCATCACTTTTGCCTGTTAAGAAATAAATTCATATTTATGACAGCAAAATGTAAGAAATGGGAGGATTTATAACGCTTTCTTCAAATGAACAAATGTAGAATTATGTAAAAAAAAATTGGTCATACCGTAATGGAAATACGCTGTGAGGGAATTCCTTATATACTGAGCTTTATTTTTGCAGTAATTTAATATATGGTACGAAGTATCAGTGAATGAGACTTTCTAGAATGCATAGAAATTAATTATTAACCAAATTAGCGTTTTCCCGTAAACAACTTTACATTACAGTTTTAAAGGTATGTAAGATTCATAAGATCCGTTTACGTAATTTAAATCAATCCGATTGGTCAGAAATGCACAGTTATTCTTCTAACGTAGTCAAGAATAGATTATTTCAATATAATTTTGCATAGAAATGGGTTCATTTTATTTGAGTCAGCTTCACTAAACCAATAGACAAACACGGAGTTTATTAAATCTCAATTACCTGTTATTTGTAACTATCACAATGGTTAATTTTAACATTGATTTTATTCGTTTCTCAAGAAAATGACTCAGAGATTTAAATTTTTTGCTCTCAATGAAGTAAAAATTGTAGCTCTATTTTAAAAATATCGAACTTAGACAAAGGTATATATGAGGCTCCGATTTTAAACATCTTATTTACCAAAATAATCCATGTAATTAAGCTTACCTAAACTTCTTGAATTTTTCGAAATTTCCAAAAATTCGCCGAATTCAAGTATTGAATCCTTATTAATTAACTATGGATTGCATAGTTGCTAATTTTGTAAATCAAAGACTAGAATGTAAACTTTAACAGTGCAATCTCAAACTCGGTATTTGTCAAGGTAATTTATATTTTTTGCATTTTTAGCTAATATTGGAGGATTTCAAAAAGTGAAGCGATTCACAAACCACTGCAAATTCTATCTTTCTCCAGGAATATTTGTGCATAAATTTCAGTCTTGAAATAGCACAGATCTTTCCATTACCAGATCGTAACTATTTCAAAATGGCTGTAAATCGTTTAAAAGGGGATGTTAAAACCTATTCATCAGGTATTTTGTATTCATCTTTGAGAAATAAGGCAAACCTAAAATATAACGGACCTGATACGTTAAACAAATTTCGAAATTCAGCATTGCAGAAAATAACTTTGACCTATTTTGTGGCATAATGTTAAAACTATATTAAAGAATATTGTATAAAGTTTTTTATTCTACTGTTAATTCCCTTTATTTGCGTAATGCTTAATTAATCATGTTGGGCGGAACCTTAAATTAATGGAAATTTTTTGACATTCCCTATTATTTAATTTGTAAATTGTATACTTAAAGTATTTTAGGCAAAGGTTGAAAAGTTATCAATATCTTTTCCTTTTGAGATAATTAATTTTTATTTGTGCTGAAGGTTAGGGGGCCGTGGGACACGTTATCGCGTTGTTCGTCATCGTATGCCTGCATGTCTGCTCGCCAGGTTTGGGAGGTGCGGCCGTACAACTCTGTGTGCAGCGACAGTACAAACAGTGACCAATCATCAACCTCTGTTTAACCTAATCCCCCGTCTTGATCATGAGTAGCTCCATGCGTGTACACGTTATCCGCAATACCCGTACTGAATAAACGTGCTCCGTGCTGCACGTCTGTTTCCTTGATAGCTGGGCTATGGCTTGGCTGGTTCTGGGAGTCTAGCTAGATGTTGGAGAATCTGCCATAGAGGTTTCTGAGTCAGTCAGGCTTACTAGTGTAGCAATCCGCTACAGGGCTCTAGTACTCCATGCTATGTCGTTATTGTGGTTTTGTATTTATGATTATAGCACTAATTAAGTGTCTTGCAATCAAATAAACTTGGATAAATAAAACTATTTAATTAAGTAAGTTACAAGCGCCTGATTGTGTTGCCTGCATTTTCTCTACGAAACACTGTCGACGGATTATTTGGCTTTTGCCTTCATTAAATTGACCTAACTCCTGTACTTTATAATTTTACTCATAATTGTGCACTTAAATGTACTTGAACGTGAAATAGGCAGAATATCTCCTACCTTCATTTAAACTAGCAAATGAAGCCACAGATCCATTTTTGCTTCTCCGAACCGGTGTGTAGCTGCAATTTGCTCCCTCCTCCTCATTTTCGCCCTTGAAGCCAGAAAAGCGTTCGAGAGTGTTTATCGGTTGACTACAAAAGAATTCTAGTAATGTAAATCATAGGTATTTTCACTAAAAAATTTAAAGGCCTTTATTAATCTATTTTTTCTAAACCGAAAAGTCCGATTTGCAAACGAAGCTTTTTGCTAGTGTCGCGGATGTTTTAAGTTTTCCAAATACTTTGAACGCTTTAAGTTGTCATATTCAAATTCTACTGAATAATTTATGTTCGTTACTTAAGTAATCGATTTTTTCTAATTCTATCGAACTTAGCGGTTTAAAGGTTGTAATTTCGCCTCCATTTAAATTCTTTTAAATAGCTTTCAATATTTGTGAAGGCTCTATTAATACAGCGTGAGTTTTTTTAATATATGTCACGTCGATTAGTCTTCCAAAAAACATTGTGGGTGACAATTAAAGACCTAATTTAATATTCAAGACCAAGTCTATCCCGTTTTTTAATAATAGCTTTTTTATCAAAAATTTAGTCATTATGAACACCAAGCTCCGTTCTCTATTCAAGAGTTAATTGGCACTTTTTCAAAGAATGCTGATAGTGCAATAGTTGCTTCAAATGTAAAAGGGTCATACTTACATACAGTTTGGTTCTGGCTGATTCGCCAAACTTTGGAAAGACTTAATAGGACCCTGGCTGGCTTCTTCAAATATTTGCAAAAGTTCCTAAAAATAGTAATTGGCAAATGACGAAAAACTAATCAATTTCAGTCCTACCCCAGGACTATATATATAAATTTTGTTTGTATCGCAAAGAAAATATATATTTCATAAATGTATCACGCAACTCCCTTAAAGTGTATTTATCAAATTTTTTCAAAACAAAAAATGTACACGATTATCACGAAAAGTAAAAAATCTAATTTACCTGGTGTTTCTCAAGCAAACTGAAGATTATTCGTCGTTCAAGCATTAGTCGTCCTAATTTCTCAGTTTTTTCCGAACTTGAGGCCTCCACCACTGGTTGAGATAGGGGGAAATTAGTTTTGAAAAAGTATTATTTAACATTTAATTACTATTTTTGGTAGCTCTTACTTCCGAAATGTTGTCCATCACCATCAGAGGGATCACCAGATTGTAGAAGTCGAAGCTGTTCCAGAATCAATTCATAGTGGATCTCACATTCCCAATCATTGCTCAAACTTCCTTCAAGAGACCTAAAGAAGTTCTTTAAGCTTCGCTTCATATCACAGTTGATTGTGGCATAGTCAGTATCCAGCTGTAAGATCAAGTAAAATTAAATAAGCCCCTACTTATAAATATTAAGTAGGGCATAGAATCACCGACCTTTTCATGAGTCCAATGTTTGAAACCCATGAAAAGAAGATTCATAATAGCTTGTGCTGTCCCCTTCATATAAGCTTCCCAGATAGAGAGAATATAGTTTCTTATTTCATCAGCCTTTTCAACTAGTTTAGCACGAATATTCAGAGGTTGTAGGTATATTAGGGGAATCCAAATGCGGACCTGCTGAGTGACTTTTGGACCATCGAAGTCAGGCCCAAGGCTGCGTCTTTTGAGGGCTTTAGCACGACAGGAGTCACAGGTTTGATTTGAAGTAAGGGATCCAGTTCGATTCTGGCGATCGATGGACGATTTAAGAGTGTTGTAGAGACCAAATCGTTGACCAACTTGTCTCTCAGTGGTATATGTACGGCCGCTTACCAGAGCACTATCATTTTCGATTTCAATAACCTTGACGATTTCCTGTTTGCATAAAATGCCCTGAACGTAAACAGATAACAGCATTTAACGTATACTACTTTGCATATAGAATATATTATTTAGTAAAGAAAAAACTCTTGCTTTTGCACTATTTTAACACATTTAAGTGCCTTTCCAATGACGCTAATTTAAGTTATCGAAAACATCAATTACATTCGCGTAAATGATGGGGCATTATTTGTTTAATTATTTGGACATTATTAAACTACATTCAAATGAATTACCTTAATGCACAAGGGTAGGTTAAATGAAAATATTAATATTAATATTCAATTAAAATGAGATCGAGAATTGGAATTTTATTATATTGTGGCGTGTTCCCCATCATTTATTATTTTTTAAGTCAATCTTGACCAATTTGGCCTTTGGAAATGAGCTTTAATTAATAAATAGGGAAAGGATCTTTTTTGAATATCTTACGACAAAAAGATATCTTTGGGTCCTGCTACTTAAAAGATTTGCCAGTAAATAGTATTTGTGTAAGTGAATGATTTATAAGTTCAGTAATTATCCATAAGGATAAAAATAATACCATTTCACTATATGTTCACACTGAAACACATCTGCTTTAATTTGAAGTTCTTTCTTCTACCAATGCAACTGTTTTCTACTTTATTGATTATCAATAGTCACTACAATGTGTTTATCAGTTCACATTGAGTGCATTAGCAATAAAATTGGTAGTTGAAATTAATCCAGACTTCCAACCTGATCACTTTCAAAGTCGCAGAGCACTTCAGCGATGAGAGATTGATCCTCAATGGTGGATGTTTTCATCGAAGTAAATTTGTCATCGATCCACGATATCCAAGTGCAGAATTTCTCTTGATCGGCCTTAAAACCAAATGAGAGTATTATTTCCATTTCATGTTCTAAAAACTCCCATTAAAATAAATAATAAATATACGTTAATCATTTTTTTACCTACTTTCTAAAATTTTCATTTAGACAAATAGTGTTTGCTATTTGCGTGGAATTAATATTTTATGGTATTGTTGCATTCGCTGTTGTATTAAAAATCGGACGATATCATATTCCAATTAAATTATGCTTTTTAAATAAGTTTATTATCTGAATCTTACAGAAAGAGCGTTATAGAATCTAGTCGCTTTATCGACACAATCCCATTTATTGATCTCATTGACCGATTGTTGGACGTTCATTGGCTGAGGTGAGTTCGCTGAAATCGTCATTTTCAATTCATCCAACTCTCCTAACATCTAAAAAAGACATTTCTCATAAAGATAATATCTAGAGCCTACTTGAAGATACGATTTTGCTTGCTGGATCTTCATTTTCTGGCACTCAGTCATGTCTTGAAATCGTCCCAAAATCTTAAGGCTTTTCTAAATAAGAATTTGAGAAAAACAATCACATAATAGTAAAAAATATACTTCTCGATTTTCATTGCCTTGGAGCAAATCATCGATGAATTTGTTTGACCACTGGAAAAGGCGATAATCAGGGTTAATTAACAAAGGAACTAACACTGACGAAAAGTGCTGAGAAGAAAAATCACTCACACTGAAAAGTTCATCCACATTTCCCATTCTTTCGCAGTCTTTGCAACCGTCACCTTGATTTCTGAAAAAGAGAGGAATAACCCCCAATATGCAATTCAACTACCCATCTTATTTACATTTTAGACACTATACGTACTTTAAAATGACCAAAATTTATACCTTAACAGATTTTTATCTCCCTGGTTGGAAATTCGTAGCGTGCTAAATTATCCTCTTCGATATTTGCTTCTAAATTCAGGGATTATATTTTTTTCCTTTCCATGTTTGGTTACTTTTGTTTAAATTTTCCCACTTTTAGGCTGTTGTAATAAGCGTTCATACTATACGCAATTTAGTAACTACAATCACGTTTAGAACCACCCTTTGAATGATCGAATAAAGACTAAAGGTCGAAACAACGACCCATCCAGCAATAATAGATTCTCTACTTATACTCTAGTTTCAATTATTTTCAGATCAAAATATATAACTACAGTGATGAAATCAAATTACCTTAAAACATTTATGCATTAAAATTAAAGTCAATTGGTTTTATAAAATTTCAATTGTGAAAGAAATTAATTTGTATAGCTTGACAATGGATTTTGCAGTTATATGCAACATAAATATTAGAATCGGTGCACCACCACTATCCCATAATATGGCATATTAAGATTATATTTGACAATATATTATTATATCGTAAAAGGAAGAACAACTACTCACTTTCAACTAGAAAGATGGGAGCATTTACTATGAAAAGAGGGGTGGTTTAAGTATTCTCATTGCTTTTTTCTGTCAAGATTACTACTGTTTGTCCATTGGCAAGCATTGAACCAACGTTGAAAAAAGCTATGTGGTGTAGCAATTTCTATGGATCAATGCTTCCTACTACCTATTATTTAATTTTGGCTTCAAATAAATAAAATTTTGAATAAAAATGCGTAAAATATTAATGATTAAATTCTCAGCCAATCGGTTGCACAACTTCGCAAATGTTGAAAGGGAAAAATAATTCCCACCTCTCCCCCCCAAGGGTACAATTTGGTCTGAACACAATTAAATTCCATTCGACTTGGTGCCTAAAAGCCGAGTTCCTAGTAGGTTGCTTGAATAATCTGTCAGTGTGTTCCGAGTTTAACCCGCATTAAACTATTCCTTCTCATACAATTGCATTTCACTCGGTCTCCAGACCAAAGAAAATGCAGATGCGGTTTTTATGAAGGTAATCAGAACTCATTATATTATTTCAAGCACCATAATTGATTTGAATTAATTCTTCAAAAATTAATGCGAATTCGCAAAAAAGACCGCTCGAGTTCCTGAAATATGACATATACTTTCTACTTAACGGCGTGGTTAAGCATAGCAATATATTGTCAATAGCAAACGAGTGCAGTAATTTCATTATTGAAAGCCAATTAAGAAAACTAGTTCATAAAAAGCCCATTAACACTCACCTGCAAGATTCCTCTTCCTGAGGCGCACAGAGAGCAAGAGTGAGACGAGAGGGCGTCTGGAGGGGGTTGCTGTGTTGAGCCGACTGAGGTGTTGATGAGGGGGGCGAACTTCTTGAGCGTACTGATAACACTACCTCTTGCATATTAATTCACTCCTTTGGACTCAAATCTGCATTTTAAACTCTCCGAGGGGTGAGGTGAAGAGTTGGTTGGTTTGAATGTACGTCAGTAAAAAAGTTTAATTAATGCAACGTCTTCTGTGTCGTGTAAGGACACTTTTCGCTCGAGTTCACTACTCCTCACTAATTATGGGCACAGTAGAAATGTTGCATAGTTGGCAAGGGCAGGTTCATTTGCATAAGCTTGTGATCTATAGTATGAGTGAGCACAGATCATAAAATGGAAACGGCCCAATTGGCACAAGGCCCTTTCTTTTACTCTTTTTCTCTCCGTTAGTAATTTCCTTCATGACATGACGACCATTAAGTGCGCTAGTGACAATCAATCAGTTTATTCAGTTTGGGTACACAAATGAACCATTTTTCTTGTTCTGTATTTTGTTCTACACTGCAAATAGGTAGGATTAAAGAAAAGCGCTTAAATTAACGACAGGGTAAGTTAAATGACAAAGCGTGATGTAGCATTTAAATTTTGGTTGTCAATTACCCAACATGTAAATGGTGGATTTTCATGCCCTATAGTTTGATTCACCCCTGCGAACTATGAATTAAAATGTGCGAATTTCAGCCCTTTTCAGCATATGCGAGAAGTAGATACATTCGCCTCATCCTGACATTGCTTTAGTTTCAAAACGCAAAAAAGGTAAGATATGTGACCCTTCCAAAGATTGCCGACCATGAAATTTAAAACATGTTCTTTTTGGGGAAGAACTTTGGTGATAATCATATATGAAAGTTTCTCAAATCCCTTGTCTTCTTTTTTGTATTTGGGTTAAGTGTAAATAAGCTAATCTATTAAGGTCAAATTAATATATGACGCTTTTATTAATCAACCTAATATTTATAAACTCACGCCAAGGTATATATGGAACAAGAAATTTGAAGAAGCTCCTTATACGAACATCACCAAAGTTCAGTCCACCATGGAACATCCCTAGCTAAGTGAGCGAAATAGGCTTTTGAACAGTTTCTTTACATACAAATTTAAAAAATGTATCAATATACAATAGGAAAAAATGCGCGACTTGAAATAGAAATTTTATCTGCTCAAAATTAGAGCAATCATAATTGCATTAAACCTTCAAGATAAAAATCTTTAGACGTTGTTTAATTAGCGAAAATCCGGGAAAGTCCATGGAATAGTTTAAGGGTGCATTTGTTCAAACAGGATAATTTCACAAATGTTGTGCGGGATGCAGTTGAAAGTAGGAAATGGGTGGTTTGACATTAATCATATCTAGATATTTTATTCAGCAATAAAAGCTTGTCATTATTGGTTTCCAGCCTTTAATGAACCATTTTAAAAATGAATGGTAAAGGATAGCAGATTCTAAAATTTGTCGTTACTTGCAAGCATAACTGAAAAGCCAAAATCTAACAAGAATGAGCGAGCCAACTGTGCGGAGCTTATATTACTTTACTATTATTAAAATTTTATGAATATCTAAATTTAATCTAATGGAAAATATTAAACCCCATTCCATAATTTCACATTTATTAGGCAAGTACAAATCGATTTTGATATAAATGACTGTTCTGCACTAAAATTTGGTTAAAATAAATTTATTTTTCAAAAAATTATAGTATCGTTTTTATTAAGTTGTAGTTTGAGCTCACTTTTAATAATCTTATATACAATTAAAACATGAACAGGCTTCACAAGCCCTCCTGTTCAAACTTGATCTCAATCGTTCTGTGATAAAATGGTTCTCTCCAGGTGTATAACTTCTCAGATGGATATGATTGCGTGGAAATCATCTCAGGCGTTTGCTCATATCATGAGTTTCATAGAAGGCGTTAACGTTTATGTTAGAGCAAAAACCATAAACGATCGTCAAACAATGTCAGGCGTAGGTTGCGATTTTCGCTTACTTGTACAGAACATATCGAAAGTAATTGCGCTTTTAGATCGTCTTGACGCTCAAGTTGATCAAACGCCATTGGAAGTGAGCCCTCAGCGTTATGGAAACAGGGCTTTCGTCGAGTACTATATGTGGTTGAATGAAAATGCGCTCCAAATACTTGTTGAAAAATTAGACATTGACCCAAATACGGGTATGCTTTTGTCATAAGCGGTCATGTATTTCTTGCTAGAGCATCTTGATGAAGTTGTTAATTATCTAACCGAATCCGTGGGTAATTTCGTGCGTATTGATTATGGAACTGGTCATGAGCTTTCCTTCATCGCATTTCTAATATCATTATTTAAAATTGGGTATTTGAAACAACCTCACATGCCGATTCGCACTCTTAATACTGGTCCTTCCACTCAATTAAACGACTACGCAGCATCCGGGTTATACATACTCCCCGCTTATCTCAAATTAGTTCGACACTTGCAGACCTACTTCAGAATGGAGCCAGCTGGTTCCCACGGTGTTTGGAGTTTGGATGATTTCCAGTTCGTCCCTTACATTTGGGGTAGTAGTCAATTAGTTGGCACGGGTCTTTACAATCCGTCCGACATCCCTAGTAGAGAAATAGCTGAAAAAGAAGCCAATTCCAATTTGCTCTTCTCTTGTATAAACTATATCTATCATGTGAAGATTGGTCCCTTTGCCGAGCATTCTAGCTGCCTGGAGAGCCTTAGCAGAGTGCCGAATTGGGAGAAGGTCAACTCCGGAATGATTAAGATGTACAAAGGAGAGGTAACTTTATTTAGTCTAACTCTTCCTTGCTCTCCTAGGTTCTGGACAAATTCCCAGTTGTTCAACACTTTCTCTTCGGTCAATTACTCTCTTTTGATTCCTCATCTGCGGCCCAACATCTTCCTGCAGCCTTCCCATCCCCTCCTTTTATTAAACCCGCTGGAGACCCCTAGATTGCCGTTCTATCTCTTAATAAATTTTTTTTCATTATCATATTATATTCTAGATAGAGTGTAGAAGGAATGTAAAATTTTCTGTCGACGTCCAAAGAAAGAGGGCGACATCGGCACAGAAAAAAACGTATTTTATAAATGATATAAAACTTGTAAGTTGACTCGAAGTAGATTGGACCTATCGGCAGCCTTGAGGAGTTGAACCAAGTGTAATGAGGAACTCGTGTGCTTTGTAAATCTTTCAGAAAACACCGAGAATAACGCAGGTATGTAGACTACCATAGTTTCTAAATCACTAATTACTACTGAGCGATAGAAGAAACAGAAGCCGTTACTTTCGTTTACAAATCCCGATCAGAGTAAGCAGACTTATCAAACAAATTAGTGACTTGTCAGTTGGGGGGTGCAAATAAGTTATGGCATGACGGAGGTCTCAGTTACTGAGATTTAGGAAATTAAACGACTGACATCGAGAGCCTGCTGGGCAACTCGAGTGATTAAGGAGGAAGAGTGTGTGATTTACATGGCGAAGCGTAAAAAGGAAAATACACTGCACATAAAAAATTAATGGATCAAAGAAAGGGAAATCGATTGTGCTATAAAGTCATGGGAACTTAAAGCGCTGGCAGACTGTGGATAGTCCACCAATAGGCAAACTTCTCCGTTCCGTTAATGGTCTTTTAAAGGAGTGCGTTTGCGAAAGCACAAAATCGAATTTCACTCTGCTTAAGCAATAATTAAGTATTTTATTAATTAAAATTGATAAATGAGGCAAGTAGTTAGACGATTTCAGAGCTCAAAAGCAGTAGACCCTCTGGTTCTTTTACCTCTACTCCGCCATTACGTAGATCGCCTCTACTGTTCATTTTGCTTGGATACGAAATAGGATTTGAATAAGAAAAATCAGATGGCCAAACAACAGTGAAATCCACACATACTGAAGAATAATGATGAATTTGTTAGCAAAAAAGATGGGTGGATATGTAGGAGCAATTATCGAAGAGCCGATAACTCCCCCCCCCTGTCCACATTTCAATAAAAATCACAATTAGGAATAAATAAATTGATATTTCCACATCAGCGCGGCAGCAGAAGTAGCGCAGAGCGTGTGACTCAGTAGGATTTCCGGATCATAAATTGGGAAACAATTTCCTATTTAACAGCCGCTTTATTTAGAGGGGGGAGGAATAAAAAGTTTCTCTCAAATAACTGGCATATAAAATCAGGCAATTTAACAAATTAAATTATTGGGTTTGGAAATGTGGAGATTGTTTCTGCAGGCGGTGCAATGAGGCAGTAGTTCAATTCCCTCCATGGAGAGTTTGGTCTCACTGCTTCTCCCCGCTGTGCCATCGTTGTTTTCAATGCTGATTGTTCGGAAGAGTTCGGTAGTGGAAGATTGGAATTTGTCTTTTATTTTGAGGAGACAGTCAAAATGCATGGCTCGTCGACAACCTGGAGTTGAACACTAACCAATGAAAATAGGGGAATTCGAATAACGAAAATAGAATTTGCTTGATAATATTGTAAGTGACATTCTACTATAAGTAATCTGGCCAAGAAATTCGTTTCAATCATACTTATTAAGTATAGTGGGGTGTGAGATAGACTTACCTCCACGTGGTGCACCCTGCGCAACGCGTACTCATACGGCAAAAAGTCTACTAACTGGCAGTTGACTTCTCACTTCAAATTACCATCACCCCACTCTATGTCATATTCCACTAGTTCCACAGTAATCAGCTCACCTTTGTTCTACCTTTGTGTCTATTTCTTTTACATCTTTGAAGCACTCTTCTGTCCCCCCCC